TTGGTTCGTATTGTAGTTACCGCACGCGATTGATCGTTCTGTGTATCGAGTTCTGTATGGAACTCACCCTCGACGTCTTTGAAATAAGTTTCCAGTCGGAATCTATACGTCTTGCCTCCGTTCCCTTTAGTGAAACCAAATTCAATTTCAAAGCTGCGTCTTGTGTAATTCAGCTTAAACTTTACGTTATTGTCTGTTTTCCACTCTCTAACAAAGGTGTCCTCTTGAAGGAATACACCCATTTCCAAAGACTTGGCCAATAGGAAATCTTGACTTCTGCGTTCTTTTGAGAAGTTTGACTGGTCGTTTTCAGGCCTGCGGGGCGATGTAACCTCTATCCGCAATTGCTTGCCATGGAATCTTGGATTCTGTCTCCAAAACTCCGTTTCTGGGGGGGGCCTTTAGTAACGAGAAACAGTATAAATTATATTTTTATTCGTCATTGTTACTCAAGTCAATCAAACATACGTATTTAATTAACACGAAGCTTACCTGTAAATAAGGTATACTGTCCCAGTGAAGACAGTGCCTAATTCCCTCGTGTCCATAGTGATTTTGTCCAAATGGCCGTAACCGGAGAAAAATTCTCTCAGTTCGGCCAAACTGGCGTTGGGCTGCAAGTTGCTAACTCTTAGGTCTAGTCGCTGGCTTCTTCCGCGACCACTGCCAAATCCACTATATCCGTTATATCCATTATATCCGCGACTATTATCGTATCCGCCGCGACCACTATCGTATCCGCCGCGGCCGCTATCGTATCCACCGCGGCTGCTATCGTATCCACCGCGGCTGCTATCGTATCCACCGCGGCTGCTATCGTATCCACCGCGACTGCTATCGTATCCACCGCGGCTGCTATCGTACCCACCGCGACTGCTATCATACCCACCGCGGCTGCTATCGTACCCACCGCGACTGCTATCATACCCACCGCGGCTGCTATCGTATCCACCGCGACCGTTGTCACCGCGGCGGGGAAAACTGTTGAATCTGTTACTGCTTTCGTAACGATTTTGCCCGTTCCCTCTGCTGTAGTTGCTTGTTCTCGGATGAGACACTACTGGCATCATCTTGGCTATATTATTCTAATTCAAGTTCAAAGTGAGGTTTATGCCTTTAGCGTTATCGCTTCTGGTATTAAGCTAAGACGGTGTAAAGGCGACAGTCGTGTAGTTTAAGTGTGCTGGCTGTGGCTAATGTAGCAGGGAAATCACAGACGGTTTGATTTGAAGTAAAACTTAGAACGTATCGACTTCTCTTGGGTAACGCTACAATATTTTTCGAGTCTGTGATGTACAGCTTAGAGTTTTAGACCAAGCGGAACTCCACCATCTTATCTTCCCAGCCGCATCATAATCAAATGGGGGTGTCGTATTGGTGGAACCACTGATTTCCAAATAAAGAATACAGAAAAAGTTTGCGCCAACTATAACAAGGAAAACTTACTTGCCAAACAATGGTGCAAGGATTTATTGGTGATCTTTACAAATACAGCAGACTGTGAATCGACTGCTATATTAATACATGAAGAACTATAGTTTCGGTGTTAGTTCTACTAATAATAACATTCTTTATTGTTAACAAAACATGGATAAACAATAGTCAAGCGCTGCCTTTCAATGTGTTTGAAATCTGTTAAAGAGCATAAGACCTAATTAATACGGTATAGTTCTGAAAATAAGCCCCCCCGAAAATACAAAATTTTTTTACCTCCTTACCCACAATCCTGCTATAACATGTGGTCCAAAAATATTTTCGGAACTGTACAGTAACACACATGAGAAAATTTTTTATTTCTGTCAACCGATCAGGCAGTAAATAACTATAATAACAATAATAGTAAGTGGTATCACTAGGCTTTCGGC